AGAAGCCCTGAGGGAGCAATTCTCCCAAGGAGGCTGATGATTTTCCCCAGGGCCTTCCAGATGTGGGATTGCCCCATGCCCCTGGTGCCTTCCTTCCCCAAACCCCTCAGCCCCACATTCACACATTGTACTCTTTCATCACACACTGAGAACAGAAACAGGTGTTGGTGAAAAAATGTGTACACCAACATTTATTTCACTGTTGGTTTTTTGAAAAACTAAAATACTCTTTAGTTCAGAAAAAATAAAATGCCGTTTTGTTCAGAAAAATAAAGTGTTTGTAAACAAAGTAAAGTGCTTCCCTCGGTGACTCTCACAGATGGGAAGGGGGAATGTCAACCTGGAAGGGGGGAGGGAGGCTCAGGGCTGAGGGTGCTGCCTTGATGAGGAGCCCTTGGCACTTTGGCTGCAGAGGTCTTCTCACACACAGCCACGCATGTGGGCTGGGACAGTAGGGGGATGGGCAGGAGGTGGGGCTGTACCTGGGTCTGGGATGGGAGAGGTTGAGGGAGGGGCAGGCTGAGCAGGAGGGAGAGGACCAGGCACAGGACCGGGGAAGGCCATGGCCTCCCGGATAGCAGCTCAAATGTCAGTGCTCTGCTGGGCAAATTCCTCCAGCAAGTGCCTGCGCCACTCTGCCTCTGCCTCCATCCTCTGGTTAAATGTGTTCTGCATTCTTTGCAGGACTGAGATGTGCTGACGCGCCAGGTTCAAATACGTGCACCAATGCCGACGGGTTCCCTGCAGCCGTCCGGGTGGTGGGGCAGGTGTGGCGCCCCCTCCTGGTCAGCTGCTCCGGCTGTAGAGGGCAAGAGGAAAAAGTCATCAGTCATGCATGCTCACACTTTCCCTGAGAAGGCATGCCCTCCTTCTCAGCAGTCAGTGCCTGTCCAAGAGTCAGAGGATGCTCATGTGGGTCTCAGTGAGGCATAGTGTGGCCTGGCCCGCAGCCACAGCTTCCCTGGAGCCCAAAAGGTGTGCAGGCCACCATCCTGCTCTCCCTTCCCCCCCACACACATCCCATGGCCAAGCAGCACAGACAAGTGTCAGGCCACAGTTGGGGTTCCCACAGATTGCTGAAAGGCCTGAAGCTGTCTGCAATCCCAGCGTCCCCAGCCCATATCTGCACTTGGCATCCTACTCCTTCCTTATTGACAGTTTGGCTCTTCATAGCCTCATGTGCTGACCCATCTAGTTAATTGGCCAGACTGGGAGCATCAGTTCCAGCTGAGGAGAGCTGGACCTGCTTAATGTAAAGAAGCAAACCAGCTTGTGACAATCTGATTTTCTGTGAAACTAAGCAATAGCAGCCATTACTCAGCACCATGGAAAAATCAAACTGTAGGGCTACATCTAGACTGCATTGCTTTTTTGGGATACCAGAGGTATCCTGAAAAAACAACACTGCATCTAAGGAACGCGTCTGTTTTTCCAATTTTTTTTTTTTTTTTTTGAAAAAGCAGACGTGCTCTTTCACCATCCCTATAAACCTCATTCTATGAGGAATAAGGCATGTCAAAAAAGCACTTTTTTCTGAAATTTGGCACCGTGTAGATGTGCCAAATTTCAGAAAACCCTCTTTTGAAAGTAAATCAGGAAAAGATACACATTTTGCATACTGCAAATTGCGTTTCTTTTTCCGAATTAACATTGCAGTGTAGACCTACCCTAGGTGTCTAAAAAAAAAATGTAGTAGACACTTTTTAAAATTTGTGTTGTCCTGTTGTTTGAATTACCTATAGTAATTAGAATATTTGTTATATCCCTCACCATCAAATAAAGAAACAAATCAGGAAAATAGAATATTTTTGTTTTTCATGTACTGGAGTCCTTCTAGATAAGCTCGAACACCTTTTATGATTATTTCATGATAGCACATGAAATCCAGTGGTTCTCAGCATGTTTCACTTAGAATATTTAGTACAACTGTGTTGACAGTCTCTCAGGCACTTGTGATAGCTGCATGTCAGAAGATTTTGTGACCGAATTTGATTCACCTGAAGACAGGTCACAAATCACAGTCACAGTTGAGTAGATCATCTAGATTGTATTGTTCGAGTTAGCCTTGTTTTATGGCTGGCTTCCAAAGCAGCATACCACCAATTGAGTTCAGAAGAGAACAAACTAAGAAAAATAAAAAAGGGAGTAAGGAGGCACCGTGCTGCTAATGTTCAATTTATACTTACTTAAAATCCTGTGGTTCAGTTCTTGACATTGTCCCTTGTGAATGATAGCAAATTAAACAGTTATAAAATTCATCTTTGTTTAGGAGAACAAAGAATTACTGTTTATTCCAGTGTCATGTGTTCATTATCTCTACCATCACCTTAATCAAGGGACACAGCTGACAAGGAATGTGCTAAATATGACTAGTTGGAGGCTGCAGATAACAAGACTCAATACTTTACTTCAATTAAGAGAGTAAAAACAACATACCGTACGCATATCTCTTTTGCCTTTCCATTTAAAAATATCTGCCACAGGTGTTAGTGAATATTAAACATGTCCCTGTCCAAAGTCTATCATACTGAGTGGGATAATTTAGAAAACCAGTGGAAAACTGACAAGATTTCAAAGCTAAAAACCCCCCCATATATTTAAAGTGGTATGACACATAATATAACCAGTCGTTCATACTATGTGACCTTATAATATAGTAAAACTCCATTGGTCCGGCATCCAATGCTCCGGCACTCCTGATGGGCCGGCATCATCGGGAACCGGACAATTGGAGCTGCTTTGCGCCCGGCTTCCCCGATTCAGCCGCTGCTGAAACTGACCAGCAGCTGAATCAGGGAAACCGGGGACAGAGCAGCTGAGGTGCTGCCGAGTTGGTCTCGCAGCGAGGGGCAGCACTACCGGACGAACCTGGTAGCACCCCAGTGTGGTCACCCTAAGAGCATATCTACACTACAACATTTTGTTGGCATAGTTTTGTTGGTGAGGAATATGAAAAAAATGCCACCCCCTCCAAGGGGCATAGGTTGGCTGGAAACACTCCCAATTTCTCTTCTCCTTGGAGCTGGCTGTTCTATACTGACAGAAAAACTCCTGTGTGCATATGCTGCATCTGCAGTAGCAGGCTGTGCTGATACAGGTATTACCTCCAGAACATTTGTCCTGTAGCTAAGGCCTATTTAGGTTTAACTTAAACCTGATCAGAATCAACTTTTAAATTGAAACAAGTGTGTCCACACAGACGTTGGCACCAATTTCACTCCCCGTCCGATAGTCCCACATATCTGATAATCCAGCACCTCCTGGGTCCTAAAGGTGCCGGATTATCGGAAGTTTACTGTACTCTTAACTCATACAATGAAGATTGAATTTCTAATAATATAGCTAGTTTCTAATATTCAGTTCTCAAGGAGTATTGCAGTATATTCATATTGTATGTAAGGGTGTGTTTTTTTTAGCCCATCTATTTATCAGTTTCTTAAATCTAATAAGTAATACTGCCAACCTCTACCTGGGGAGTTCTTTTTTTCCCTCTTGTATAACAATCACTATATAAATGGCTAGGAGTATATGAGAGAATGAACTGGGAGAGGATTATAAAATATTGTTATGGTCAGCATTAATATCAATTATTGGCTAATGTTTTCTTATTTTATTTCACAGATAACTACTCTTACACTGTAGTAATAGTTTCCTTGCACAGTATTGTTTACAGGAAAAACGTTAACATGGAATATCTGTAATATCTACAGTTTGTTTTGTCAGTTTTGCTACTGTTGTTCAGTACCTGTCAGGTATACTAGTTAGGTAGTAAATTCATAGCATACATGATGGCTGTGTTTCCCAAACTTATTCCTTTTGTAAAAAGCTGTGAAATACAATAGCAGTGAAGAACACTAGAACTCACATTTAGTCTTTATAGGACAGCTAATAAACCTTATCCCACATTCTGACGCATCTTTCTATTGTACTGTTCTTCTATGCAAGAGTCCTTCTTTATAATTATTATTAATTATGTCATGTAGTGTGTACATAGTTTATTTTAGCTTCTTTTTGCATCTGCCTGAAATCCTATTTTTCTGTGTTTTTCCTCTGTTCTAAATTTCATTTTGGAGTTTGGCATTTTAGTTGTTTTTTCCAAGACTTCCTACAGCAGCCTTTCTTTTTGTATTCTTTTGTTTCAGTTTTTTTACTCTCATTATATTCCTTATTTCAGTGTCTGACAAACAAGTTTATTCTTGTTCTCTCAGGTGTAAACTTATTTTTCTTTTAATTTTTCCTTTTTTTTTCTATGCACAAGCTATTAGCTGACATGTTTATTTTCCAGACCAGCTTTTAAAATTTGTTTTCTCTCCCTTCATTTATAAATGATGTAATATATTATTTATGTAATATTTCCCAAGTGAGTCCTAGCAGCATATTTGATAGTCCTCATACAAGCCGTTCCATGAGAGAGGCATCTCTCAAGCAGCTGACACCAGAGAGCCCAGCTAGTTTTTTAACCTCTCTTGAGCCTCCAAAATTTAAGGGCCAGCCAACAACTGCATACTTTCTCCATCACTCAGGCTGTGAAAGTGATGCTGTGTGCAAGTCCATTCACTCACTTTTGCTGAGCTTGCATTGTTTTGCCCATTGCATATTCTGTCACAAGGTAGCCTGGAACAAAAAGCTGGCCATCAGAGAGAAATACATTCTAACTTCAGTTCTCTGGATACACTCAATCAACATCAGCTCAGCATCAGTAATTAGACAGGGGTCAAATAATAATGTTGGCATCCAAGCAACCTAGTCAATCTTCTGTTGATTCTGCATATTGTTACAAGAGTTGGATGCAGTTTTTAAAGCAGGACTCAATGTGCACATTGAAAATACTTCTGTATTTATGAAGTTAAATGTGAACAAGGGACTGATGCCCTTTACATTGTTATTAATAATGTCCTCTTACTGTCCTATTTCTACACACTAGCTAAAGAACTACATTTACTTTGTATATGACATGTTGTCTTTTAGAATCTAATTAAAACTTACTTTTTGGTCCTTAGGTAGAAAGATAAGTCTGCTGAGATGAGCTCTTAATTAATGCACAGAGAGCCTGAAAGTCCCACCTCTCAACAGTGATGATTGACATTCAAGGATACATAAATTACACTAATTGAGATTTGCATCTACACAGTCTTTCCACAGCCAACTCATCAGAGAAGGTAGGTGAGCAGACCAGCATAAAATGTTATTTCACTAAGTTGTATATTTTCCCAAGGGAGAAAAACTTTTCAAATTACTGAACATGTATTATCATGGGAGGCGGTTCTTCCATTTGGTTTTAAGATATAGATTTTGTTTTTCATTATAAAAATCAGCATTTTTAACATAGGTACTGAAAAGTTAATAACCACAAACTTAATTAATTCAAAGTTGTAAAATCTTACAAGTCTATTATTTTATGCAAAAATAATGTGGCAACATTTGTTGATTTTAAATTGTGTTGCATAGCAACACATGCATATTCCCTAACAGTCGTTTTTGGAATCAAAGCCAAATTTTGTCATTCAGCTGTTTAGCTAATTGTTAGTTCCCTATGTCTTTGGCTCAAAAGAACCTGCAGAAATCCTGATGTAGGATATAAAGTCATTGCATATTCAAACTAATATAAAGATATTTAAGGCTCAGCTTTTTATGGTGAGTATATTATTATTTATTACTTTTACTCAATAACTGCAACTTCTTAACAATGGAATAAGACTTAGATGTGTTCTGAATATTGTTAATTTTGCTTTAGTGTCGCAAGTGCACTCTGCATATTCTGTAATAATATTAAAGTCATGTACAGTTTGTAAGAATAAAGTATCTGTTCTGTCTATAGAAGGTCCTCTTTTAATTTTTCACCAATAGTCTGATTTAGTGATTTTGCTATTTAGGTATATACTCATTTTGTAGGAAATGAAATGTAAGAAATTTTTGGTTGTTACCGAACTACATTGGTATGACAGGGCTGGGCTTACCAGAGATACCACATAAGGATTAGTCTCTAGGTCACATTTCTTCTTGGTCTCTAGCATCTTCTACTGCTGGTAATTATGGTGTGATTAGTTTCTTTTTCAGTAGATAGAAACTCACCCTTCTGTCCAGGTCACCAATTAAATCCATCCCTCTATGAGGTAACAGAATCCAACAAAGCAGAGAAGTACAATATCTGCACACACACTCCACCCTACCCCTCCCCAAAAAATGACTTTCCTGCCCAACTCCAAGACCTCACACATTTACTTCTATGCTACATTTTCTTATCCCCCCGGGTTCTCCCTCTGCACTGGGTTCTTAACTAGAGCCCAAAGGGTGGCTACAATACCAAGACTTGCCTTATAGGTCACTTACTACCACTTCTAGTCCAGGGCATTGTCACTGTCTCACAAACAAACCAAGAAAAAAAGGAACAAAACATTCTTTAATCCTTAAGGACACACTAGTCACTGCTGTGGAGCTAGGGTAGCTGCCATTTGCAGGTCCCTTTCCTGCAACAAAGACTGCCACAGTGTCGATCTCCCTAGTTTACCTACTATCCATTTTTTCTGAGTTATCTGACTCAGCTGAAACAGGCATTGCAGTTGCAATGGACCAGGACCACTTGGGCACAGAACTGCTCCTTAACCCTTCCTATCCCAGTGTTGTGTTTATATACTTTACCACAGCTTGCCATTTAATTTAAGATTATCTTACAATGCAAATCAGTTAAGATGAAATCACTGATCAAAATCCAATATGCTCATCTTTAGCTAATGTCCATTTAAAGAAAGAGATACCAGTGAGAGCAGGGTGGATACAGAGAGACCAGGGAGAACTCAGATATATCACAGAGATATTTGACAGAGGAGAAAGATTGCAGATGGAGTATGGAAGGTGCTGGAAGCAATCAAGGAGGAAAACTAGAACTGAATCCACCAAACCCCCCCCCCCCACACCAACCTCACCACACCCACACCATGAAAACAAAGAGGAAAACTAAAAATAAACCCCCCAACCCCCCCCCCCCCCCACACACACACACACACACACACAGCCTATATAAAACTGTCAATATGGCAAAAGAAACAACTCACTTTGTAATTTGCTTGGTTTGAGTAACTTGTCTAGTTTGTTTAGTTGGGATAACTTCAGCCCATTTTAAGATGAAATGTTATTTGTCCTTGTTTTAATTTTCCTTTCACTCATAAAATTTGTTCTTAGTACCTTATGTTGCAGATTTCAGTAAAAATCTTTAGTCCTTGTATTAAGCTCAAATTTACATAAGTAAGAAATTGTCCAAAATTTTTTTACTTTTATCTGGGGTTCATTTTATTTCTAATTGGTGTGTGTCCACTCCGGGCTTGTAAGATGTTTAGGTATGCCTCAAAAGTATTATTTTAGGATTGTTAAACGAGTCAAAAATTATTTGATGGCTATGTGTACAGTGCTTCAAACAAAGAATGGTAACATATCCTCAAACATTTTCCACATTGAAAAAGATGAAGTGGAAACCTGTGATTATCGATTGACTAAGGTCTGGATTGGGGAGAAATAGAACTGTTTGTATTTAAATGAAAAGAGAATGCACTTGTAAAAAAAACCGTGAAAACTGCCTGTATTTTGATAGGCAATTACTGAACTCCAGCTGCTAATTGAGACTTTTGACAGTAGGGCTTCAAATAGTAAAGAGAAGGGTCTCTGGGTACATATACACTCTTGCTAGAGAAGAGATATTCCACAGAAATTCGTCACTATTGTCAAATTGCTAGAAAATTTATAGTTCTAAAGTGTTGCACACAAGGGCCCATGGGCTGGATCTTGTGGCAGGTTAATATACTTAAGAATTTAAAATTTAATTATAAAACAGTGTAATCCCTATTGATATTGTGAAGATAACTTGCTAAATAGTGAAGCAATTCAGTGCTATTTTACTGAACTTCTACACAGTCTGAAATTTCTCGAACAATGTGGGGCATAATATTCATCTTAATATTGATTAAGCCTAAATGACAACACTGTTAACTCCTTTCATTGAGGATCTTTTTAAAAGAAAAGCTCATTTTAAAACTTTGTCCATTTTAATATTGTTGGAGCTGTGTTGGTCCCAGGATTTTAGAGAGACAAGTTGGGTGAGATAGTATGTTTTATTGGACCAAATCCTGTGGATGAAAAAAAAACAAGCTTCCAAGCTTACAAAGAGTTCTTTTTTACCTCTGGGAAAGGTATTCAGAGGCCATAGCTAAATTCAAGGTGGAACAGATGTTAACACATGCTGCAAGAGACCATTCAAGGAGAAGTGGACAGTTAACACCTCTACTGTCAAAGGACAAATAAGGGTGACAGATTGTTGCAATGACTCATAAATCTGTTCAGTCCATGATCTTTCTAGCAAACTTAGGGAGTTAAGTTCCCAGGCTCAGCTTCTGAAAATGTTGTAGTTTTCCTTTGATGTGAGGATTGAGAGCTCATATATGGAGTGATTATTTAATAATAAGGTGGTGGTGTCTTTTTTTCATTTTTCTATGTAATATTGTGAGAGCATTGTGTCTATCTTGTTTCACTTGCATAGTTGCTATTGGAACATTGAGGGTATATCTGCACTGCAACACTATTTCAAAATAACTAGCGCTATTCCAAAATAACTTAGTCTGAATCTACACAGCAGGCAGTTATTTCAAAGTAGTGTCAAAATACTGTCAAGCTGGAAGCTTTCTTACACTGACTACTGCAATTCTCATTGTACGAGGAGTAAGGGAAGTCAGAGGAAGAGTGCTCTACTTTAAAATAAGTGCTGTGTAAACACTCCCTATTTTGAAATAACCTATTTTGAAATAAGATATGCACTTGACATAGCTGAATTTGCATACCTTATTTCGAGTTAAGTCCTGCAGTGCAGTCACACTCTTAGGGTACGTCTACACTACATGGCTCCATCGACTGAGCCATGTAGATTTGTTTATTGGGCAAAGGGAAATGAAGCGGTGATTTAAATAATCGCCTCTTCATTTAAATTTACATGGCTGCCGCGCTGAGCCGACAAACAGCTGATTAGCTG